TTTGTGGCTTCGATATTGATGTTTCACTCCATATAACCGCTGGCTAGAATCAATCCAACTGGATGACTTTAAATACTTGTAGCAGAAATTAAAGACAATGGAACGTTCTAAATGTAACAGTTGATTTACGGAATATCTCTGTTCCTATCCCATAAAACGACACTGCTCATTCTGCAGGCAGTAAAACTGCATGATACCGGGTTTATTTATGGCCAATTTTTCATTTTTGTTAATAGGAGGTCGGGCAATTTTCGTAAATGTTGACCTTGTCACTGATCTATTTCAACTTTTAAAGAAATAGCGAAGTTCTTGCAAAGCTACAAAAAGTGACAGAATTTATTACAAGTTTCACACCATATAACTTTTGTCCTTCAAAAATATATTGTACAGAATAGAAAGTGATAAAAAGTGCCGCTTCTCCAAATCGAAAAGAGAGAATTTCTCTTCAAGCTTCAAATTGGCAGGATGGAGAAAAAGGTGGTGATGAGAAAATAGAGTAAAATAAATATGCCAATCAGATTGGGGTGATTGAGGGAATACAGTAGGGTTTATTGCCATTTAAAATTTGTTCGCTGCGTTTGGTGTTTAGTGCATAACTTTTTAAGGATAGACCATAGACCATATTAGAAGGACTCCAAGCGTCACAACCATTACAGCCTGTTATAGTGGTTATGATGTAAGGAGTACATAATTGGTTTGTCCTCTAAGCTTGGTCCCCACCGGGTTCCAAAGCTTCTAACAGCACTGCTGACATGCGTCTGACTTCTGCAGAGCCAGTTGCCAATCCTTGGCTGAGATCATCAGCTATACACTCTCTGCCAATGAATGGCACACTGTGCATGAATATTTGCACAGAATTAACATTAGCCAGCCTGTTACTCTTCTTCAGGACTGGCTGATGACATCACCATGACATTGCCGAAGGTGGAGTTACATGATGGGCAGCAAAGGGGTTAAACTCTGCATGTGCAGATTTACAAAGCTAAACACTGCACATACAGATTCCAGGCACCATAAACACTTCAAAACACTGACGTGGTTATGGAGCATAGAGTAACCGTTTAAACAACCCAAGCATAGACGTGATTAGGTGATCATGCAAAATCATCTAGTTGTGTATATTTTTGCCTACCATAATATGCATGCAAATATGAACATATTTATTTTTGCATATGCAACATGTTAATTCATAACTCATGTCTATGTAAATCATTTTTATTCTGCTGAAATAATGTGACCAATTCTCAGAAAGATAAAATAGATTAAAAAATAAATAAAAATAAACATTTGGATATTTTGTTACACTATGGACTATTTCTCACTTTTCAATCCCCTTCCCCCCTGCCTTCCACCCCCCCCAAAAAAAAATAATATACAGCATTGTTACATATTCTGTTACATTGTCGTTAGACAAATACGTTATCAGTAGTCATCCTGTTTGGTTCATGCCGGGACAATACATATATATAAATCAACAAAATGGTCGCACTCTGAGCTGTTCACTTCTTGCTTTGGCCATTGGCAAGATTCTGCCAGTATTATTATTTTTATTATTATTATTATTATTAATGACTATTTCTGCTAGTGGCATATAATGGATGGATAGCATGTTCTGGATTTTGTAGAAGTGTGTTGGCAGATATCAACCCCTGGAAGTCCCAGTTAGTTTAATGTAAGATTATTATCTAACACGAGAGTGACAATAAAAACTGCTAGCTGTATGATGACCACACTATTGTTTATGGGGAAGGTGTGGTTATAGTTGCACCACACTAGAGCTACGGTAAATAGGGCATGCTATTCTCTATATAGAGGGTCTTCAAACCCTTCCAGTGGCTGTAGATCTGACCAAAGCCAGAACAAGGGGTTCTCACCGGTGCAGCAAAATTAAAGTCCTGTTTTTAGGAAAATGCTGAGCTGAGGGACAGGATCTGTGTTACTGTTGAGTTTTACATCCGTTTAGAGGCCAATAAGGTTATTCACTAAAGTGAGAATTGTCACAAAGTCAAAGTTAATGTCAAATTTAAGGCCTAATTGGCAAAACTGAAAGAAAACATCTTCAAATTGGTAATGCTTTCAGTTCTGCTAATTTGGCCTTCAATTTGAAATTTACCTTTCCTGAATAACTTTGTAAGAATCATTACCTGGAATTCCTATAATTTACCTGGGTGCGTATGGGCAACTAACCTTATCAAATTATCCAAAATAAATAAATTAATAAATAAGGCTTTGTCAAACACCAAGAGAATATGCAGTAAGGCACATTGAAAACTGCTGATTCTGTTATGTGAGTATGTTAAAGGGAATCTATATATCTGAATATAACAATCATTTTTTTCAGGACTATAAGTTTCCTTCTATTTGGTTTGGTGGGGGTGCTAATGGTCCTTTTAAGATGAACTCTCATGTCCAAGTGAGCAAAACCAACGGTTAAATAAACGTTGCCTATTCATTGTGATAACATTCGTTCTTTATACATTTTATTTTCATTTACATATTTTTACCAGACAGAGCCAGACAACGAATACAAATTAGTTAACTTGTACAATAATATCTGCATCATGAGAAAGGCTGAAACGTTGCACATTCAGTTTTCAATAAATCTGCCATTTTGAAGAAACTTTGAGTGCCTGGATGGACTTTATACTAATGTCATGACGGGGTAAAGTCAAAACAATATCGAAGTGCAGAGGAGGTAAGTTTTACTTTAATCCCCCTTTAAATGGTGAACTGACAATTCTCTGGCAGAGAAAATTCAGCCTAAATGGGTCCTCAGAGTTTAATCACCGGAACCTCCAATAAGTGCAACATAGCCATCGCAGAGTCCCAGTGTCGCATCGGACTTCTTTCAGTATTTACTGCAGAAAGCTGTGATTGGCTTTACCCCCCAGGATCACAGATGATTGGCTTTATCCCCCAGCATCCTCCATGGACCGCAATGCTGTACACTCGCGCATGCGCAGTAAAGTCAGCTCCTGGCACTAAAGCTGCAGTAGCTGAAAAGGTCTCTTCAGGAGAAGATGGTGGCACCCATGAGGGACCGGTTCAAGTAAGTAGAACTCACCTTTGCCTACCTTCTCAGCTACCGGATGTACAGCAGTCATGTCACCATGGGGGCAAATTCTGCCAAGTCACCAGATGGTCCCATGCCACTTTAAGTTGATTTATGTCTTCTTTAAGCAGAGATTATTGTATGTGACATGCATAACTCGTCATGGTATTCTCCTGATAAATGAAATCTGTTTAATTATTTTGTCCGTCTTATGAAAAAAATTCTCCCTGTATGGAAGTCACTTATGCCTCTTTTCCACTGAGCGGTACGGCTCGGTTCGGTTCGGTATGGTACGCTATTTTGAGTATTTCCATTATGAAAGTGGCCCATTCAACTGATCCAAACCACACCATACCTGGTCCCCCTTCAGATGTAGGACAATGGGAAATGGTATGGTATGGCTGGGCGGAGCTACTGGCATCACACTATACAATCCATTGATTATTGATTGGTGGTCAGGAAAACGTCAATGCTCACGACAAATGACACGCTAGGCATTTAGTCTAAACCCCGCATTCCCCCTGGCAGTCCGACTTGCAGTGGAAATGCTCACCTGAATAGGCTGTGCCATTCTAACCCTTCCGAACTGTACTGACCCGACCCGTACTGCTCAGTGGAAACAAGGCATAAGTTAAAATGGCACCGGTGGCACCCAGGTTTGGTGGGGTATTGCATTTTCCAAGCAAAAGTTCAACATCAATTTCCTTTTTGGGGTTTTATTACATTCTATAATTTACACCAAGTTTTACACTGACTTAATACAATCATTTCGTAAGCCTCTTTCTCAGTTTTACCTTTGAAGAGCGTTTTCTCAATGAACAAAATGGCAGAATAATTTTAGAAAACACATTTTACATTTCTGTTTTTGCCCTCCCAGTTGCTCCGCCGAATAAATATATCAGTACTCACAAAGACATAAATGTCGTAATGAAATACTAAATGTCATATTAAAGAGGCACGCAATAAAGAAACAGATAAGAGAATATGGGCATCGCTGTGGAATATGAGCAATTTATAAAATGCAACCATTGAACTGTCATAGTCAGTCTGCATTCCAAGCAGAGATTCCCCTGCTGATAAAAGCATCAGACACTCTGCTTATTCTGCATTGCACAATGGAAACCAAGGCACAGACCCCTTACAGTGCTCTTCAAACAGAGAAACACTCAGAGACTCTGCAAGGCTCTGAATGCCTCATTACACTTCATATCCAAGCTTTAATATTTAACCCTGTCTGTGAAACAGAGGATTCAAAGACATTGGTTTCCACGGAAGTAGAATCTCTTACATGATTGCATGTGTCGTTGATGATCACGGGGTCATTTTTTGTAAGTTGAGAAAGAAATTATTATTTGTTTGATTTTATTTATTTATTCTTTTTAGCTTTTTAGCACATGCATCTTGAAGCAGGGAAGGGGGGGGGGTGCAGTGCTAGGCTCTGCCCCATCATGTTAGTTCCTACCCCTCTTGTTAAGCGCTAGGTGGCAGAGCTGGAAGGAAAAAGTTAAAAGCTGACAAGCTGTTTGAGGGCAACTTGCCACTCTGTGATGATCACGAGGGTGCAGAGCCTATCAAGAAACACAGGACGAGATGTGAGGGTAGGGTCCTAGCGCTGCACGCTCTGCCCATGCACCTCTATCTACAGAGCGCCTGGGCACTGTGCACCCACCCAGGATCGGCTCCGCGCATGGGAGGTGTGTACATATATGATAACTGTGTTTCAAGACATTCGGAAATTCAAAATATCATCTACAGATTGATGAATAAAGTCAGTAAAACAAAGCTTACTGTAAGTGTCCGCTAGTGATTAAAAGTGTTGTACTCACAAGCTGTCAGCTCTCCAGCTTAACTAGACTACAATTCCCTATGATTCATTTTGCAGTAGATTAAAGAATAAAATACTGCACCCATCAGAAGCTCTCTTCTCCTTTCTTTATTGATGCCAAAGGGCTGCTATAGTGAAAACTCGTCACTGCGCTGAAAATCGTTGCTGCATCTCTGCCATCACCAACGGCGAAAACTTGATGCTGCATCTCAGCCATCACCAACGGCGAAGACTCAACGCTGCATCTCTACCATCACCAACGGCGAAGACTCGACGCTGCATCTCAGCCATCACCAACGGCGAAGACTCGACGCTGCATCTCAGCTATCACCAACGGCGAAGACTCGACGCTGCATCTCTACCATCACCAACGGCGAAGACTCGACGCTGCATCTCAGCCATCACATGCAGCGTTGCTGTCTCCATCAAACTGTGAGTAAGGGCTTCCCAACGCCTTGCAAGATAACATCCAGATGCCATCTTAGCAGCAAGAACTGGCTAAAGAATTAAAACGTGTCACATGAACTTTTACTATAGCGGGCTGAGATTCCGCTAAAGCAGCTAAGAGCCTAATGTTAAGAGGCCCTAGTGTACAATTGTAAGCAACACTATCTTCTAAGTGTTCTAAACACTAAACTGTTGTTAATTATTTAAAGGGTAAATTGTCTGGTTAGAAAGTATCCGCAGTATATTCATGTTTTAAAATTTTGTCATATTGTATGCATTGTTTGCTAATCTTTATAAGTTACAAGTGTAAATACCTGTTTTCTGTTGTAGCCCTTAGTAGCAAGTTTGAGCCAACACTCATTCAAATTAGGTTTCAGGCACATACACTTGAAAGGCAAAGGCACACTAGCACAAAATGTTGTCACCTGCTGAAGAAACAGAAAAACCCACAGAGACACAACAGGTGCGGTCCAGCTCCAGAGAGCGAAGCTTAACAGAAAAAGGCCAAGAAATGCACGAAGAAACAGTTAAGAAAAATGAAAAGGTTGGTAGGAGCTAGCAAAAGAATTGCTGCTCAACTAAAGACCTTAACACAAGACTGAAGGAGATTTAAGCCAAAGAAGCGTTAGTATACCAATAGTATGAGTCCATTCGCCGCAATCATTCCACTACCCCAGGTGTTGTTAAGAGAATGGATGCATGTGTCGCCTTAACAGCTGAAATCTGTGACCTCACCAGTAAACGGCTAGAGAATGCAGACGGAATCTTTAATGATCAACTTGAAAAGGAAAGAATGAGGATGGTACATAATAAAGAGGAAGACGAGTCAGTCTTTGGAAACACAGAAACAGAAACTGCCTTTTCAGAGTCACTACAAGAGTCAGACTCAAGCTCAAGAGCCACCTCCAGATCTTCTAGCAGACGAGCAGATGCAGAAGCTGACCTTGCAGTCAAGATAGAGCAGGCAAAGGCAATGCAACAGATGCGTGAGCAACAAGCCAAGCTGAACAAACTGGAGAGTGAATTAAAGCTTAAAGAAGCACAAACGCTTGCAGAAATTAAACTGAAGTTGGATGAGGAAAAGACAAGGCTACAACAGCTACAAGCAGAAAATGAAGTCAAGGTAGCAGCAGCAAGAGTTATAGCTTACAATGTCTATGATGGTCTTGAAAATTGTGAGCAGGAGATAAACCACAAGGTGCAATACCTCGGACAAAATAATGAACCTCAAGCCTCATTAAATATACAAGCCATGCCATTTCAACCTTCAAATGCACCATGTGGGGTGTCAAGACACCAAGAAGAGGTTAGTCTAACTCCAGGACTTGCAAGTTTGCTCATCTCCAACCGTCTCCCTATACCTGAACCAACTGTACATTACAGGTGATCCTTTAAAGTTCATAGATTGGAAGATATCCTTCACAGTACTGATTGATCAGAAACCACTCGCTGTGTGCGAAAAAAAATGGGGAATCCTACAGGACAGGTATGGAGTTTCATTCATTGTCCAAAGTGCTTTCAGAGAAAGATTGACTAAATAGCCAAATATATCAGCAAATGACTTTAAGAGAGTTTGCAGATTTAATTTAAGTTTGTATTGAGGCCATTCCTCGTGTTAAGGGCCTAGCTATTCTAAATGATTGTGAAGAAAATCACAAGCTTCTCAAAAAACTGCGTGAATGGATCATGTGCAGATGGAGTCGTATCGTTGTGGACGAGTTAGATAAGTCTCAAGAATACCCAACTTTTGCTCATTTCACAGAGTTCCTGAAAAAAAAAAAGCCAAAATAGCATGCAACCCCATAGCCTCTCTCTTTATCCTCAGTACCAAGACTATAGATGAGAGACTTCCCAAGAGAGCCAAGGTGCTCAACACAAACACTCAAATGAAACCCTCCACCTCCAGCATCCCAGAGATCAAAGCCACCTTGCCTAATCTGCAAAGATGAAATACACGGTATCGCTAAATGTCTTACTTTTGCAGCAAAGACCGTCAATGAAAAGCAGGCCTTCATTTATGAAAACCATCTCTGCTTCATTTGCAGAAAAGGCCACACTACAAAGAACGTCAAAGGAAGACACACATGTAGTATATTTAGTCGACGTCATCCAACCTGTTTACACATAAAGAGAAACACAGAACCTGTTAAAACACCAAACAATGATTCAGTAGCCACAGGAAGTAAAGCAAACAACAACTTCCCCAAAGTTAAGTCCCATACGTTGACAATAGACATGTGCAATTTGTTTCGGTCCGAATATGAATTCGGACGAATTTCGGGCAATTCGGACATTTTGGTACTTCCGAATGTCCGAATTGCCGAAGTGCCAAATTGCAGAGGTCCCGAAGTTCCAAAATTACCGAATTTCCAAAGTGTCGAAGTGCTGAAGTTCCAAAATGCTGAAGTGCCGAAGTTCCGAAGTTGCCGAAGTGTCAAAGTGCCGAAGTTCCGAAATTACCGAATTTCCAAAGTGTCGAAGTGCTGAAGTTCCAAAGTGCTGAAGTGCCGAAGTTCCGAAGTTGCCGAAGTGTCAAAGTGCCGAAGTTCCGAAGCACAGTATTGCCTAAGTACTAATATACTTACCCAGTGAAAGAAGAAGAATGTTACATTGTATACAATTTTAAATAGAAAGTATACAAACATAGCCAGGATTCAGCTGTAAGCATTTGCAACACTTACAACAATCAAGTAACATACATTCATATAAAATGTAAGTTACTTGGCCAGTCAATGTAATGACAGGAATGAAATACTAATAAGGGGGGGCCTAATGTCCTCCCTCCCTGGCCCCCACCCCGGAGTGGTGGGTGAGGGCCCTGAATTATAATAAGGGGGGGGACCTAATGTCCTCCTCCCTGGCCCCCACCCCAGTAAAATAAGGGGGGGGGGACCTAATGTCCTTCCCCTGGCCCCCACCCTTGAGCTGCGGATGGGGACCCTAAATACCAATAGGGGGGGACCTATTGTCCTCCCCCCCTGGCCTCCACCCCTGAGCGGCAGGTGGGGGCCCTAAAAAAATATGCCCCCCTAGGTGACTAGGGGTCCCCAAACCCCTAGTCACCCCCTCCCCCCCCATCCCCCTACCTACCCCTCCTCACCCTAAAAATAATGAGGGGGGACCTTTACCTGTAAAAAAAAAATAAAACATTCAATGTTTTCTTTCTTCTAAAATCTACTTTTTTTCAGCCCCAAAAAAGGCCAAATAAAAAACCATAATAACCGATGCAATTTAAAAAAAAAAAAAAAAGCGAGCGCAAAAAAAAAAATCCATCTTCACCCATGGAGGGCTCCGCGCAGACTGAGCTCTGCAGGGCGGGGGAAGGCTTATAAAGCCTTGCCCCGCCCTTCAATTAGGCTCAGAGCATTCTGATTGGTGGGTTTAAAGGACCACTATAGTGCCAGGAAAACATACTCGTTTTCCTGGCACTATAGTGCCCTGAGGGTGCCCCCACCCTCAGGGACCCCCTCCCGCCCGGCTCTGGAAGGGGAAAAGGGGTAAAAACTTACCTTTTTCCAGCGCTGGGCGGAGAGCTCTCCTCCTCCTCTCCGCCTCCGTTACGCCCCGCCGGCTGAATGCGCACGCGCGGCAAGAGCTGCGCGCGCATTCAGCCGGTCACATAGGAAAGCATTCAGAATGCTTTCCTATGGACGCTTGCGTGCTCTCACTGTGAAAATCACAGTGAGAAGCACGCAAGCGCCTCTAGTGGCTGTCAATGAGACAGCCACTAGAGGATTAGGGGGAAGGCTTAACCCATTCATAAACATAGCAGTTTCTCTGAAACTGCTATGTTTATGAAAAAATGGGTTAACCCTAGAAGGACCTGGCACCCAGACCACTTCATTAAGCTGAAGTGGTCTGGGTGCCTAGAGTGGGCCTTTAAGCCATCCAATCAGAGTGCTCTGACAGGTAAATGAAGAGACTGACAGTGTCGAAGTTCCGAAGTGCTGAAGTGCCAAAGTTACCGAAGTTCCGAAGAGTTGAAGTGCCGAATTGCCGAAGTCCCGAATTGCGAAAGTCCCGAATTTCGGAATGCCGAACCGAACCGAAAATTTTCCCCATGCACATGCCTAGTTGACAAGGCATTCTGCTACATCTTGCATTGTTCCAGTCCTGTTGTTAGCTGCACCGAAGCCTCAGAGAGAAATCCTCACTTATGCCTTACTTGACACGCAGAGTGATTCAACTTTTATTTTGGCAGACCTAGTATCGAAGCTAAGTGTGAACACCCAACCACTACAGCTAAAACTCAGCATAATGACAGCTGATGAGTCACAGTCATATTAAGTCAAATCGCTCACGTAAGTACATGGCTTCAAATCTGAAGCTCAAGTCCAACTCCGTCAAGCCTACACGAGAGATTTCATCCCAGTAGATAAGTCTCACATCCCCACAAAGAAGACTGCACTCCAGTGGTCACACCTCAAGCACTTGGCAAACAGGATACAGCCACTTCAAGACTGAAGTCAGACTGTTGATTGGGTATGACTGCCC